CAGGAGCTACTTAAGGAGATAAACGTCCCAGCAGTATTTACTGACTATTGTGAAGAAGCCTGTCAACTTGCATCTCATTGCATAAACGCTTCCACCAGTTGCCATCTCAGACTGCCTGTATGTTCCCACTGCTCTTTGCTAAATCATAAAAGTAGATTTGCTGAATCTAATCACTATTTATCTGTTGCCCTGTCCCATAGATTCAATTGAATCCTTTTAGGCAGCCAATGGTGGTCGAAGAGAGTCCTCTGTTCCTTCCTTGCTATTCGAACTGCTTCCTTTTTGCGTTATGACCTGTCCATTAAACATCCATTCGATGAATGCCAATCACCTTCAACGCAAATGCTTATGGAGTCCCATTAGGACAATGTAAACAATGTACCGATTTTCAGTGGAGTTTTCAAAGGTTAACTTTAGGCGTCTGGTGTCCCTGAATGCTGGAAGACGCAATCTTAGTTAACATGACGCATGCATTTACTTAATGATTGTTAACCATTACTTATCATCTTGCAAGTGTAATTGTATAGTTTTCCTAATTCAATATAATATTTTTCTCTCGAGTTTAGCTTTGTTATTTATATTTTAAAAAAACTGCATTAAATTTTGCTTTTGACCCGGATGTTGATGTTGAAATAATTTTTTTTCTTTTTAGAGATTACAATAGTGAATTGGAGAATGGCTGAGGAGGCCAAAAATTATCAGGTATTAGCCTTCGTTTGGATAAAAAATTAGTAAAGGAGTGGAAGAGGCGGACAGGGGAAAAAAAGTGAGGAGAAAAAAAGTGAGGAGAAGTGAAGGAAAGGGAAAGATTAATGTTAGTTTTGTTTGGATAAATAAAAGTAGAGTAAAAGAAAAGATAATATTTTTATTTAATTAAAGAATTTAAAAAAATAAAAAAATATTTAAAATTTTATTAATTAAATAAATAGTTGAAATAAAATGTTTATATATTTATTTTAAAAATTTAAAATAAAATGTAAATTAATGCAATCTATCATAATTTCTTTGAGTTAAAAGATAGAAAACAGAGGACAAAAAGGATTTTATCTCCTTCCACCTCATTTCTCTATCAAAACTATTAAGCTAAACAAAAAAAAAAAGCCACTCCCTCTCAGTGTCCTTCTCTTGCTCTCCAACCTTCCCAATCTAAACAAAATGTTAATATCAGCAAGATTTTTTTATTTTTTTTGTGAGATTTGATGTCGTTTAGTTTGAAGAAAACTAAAAAATAAAAAATGAAAAAAAATTATTTTGATTAATCAAATTAAGATTAGCAACCAAACATGGCTGGTAGTATTTAACTTTCAACACCAAACGGTATACGGTCGTACGAGTGCCCTCTGCGTCTGCCACGGAATATTCCGCCACCTCCATTACCAAATGACTAAATATTTGATTTCCACCGTAATTCCGATTCCGAGGCAAACATTCATTCCCTGCGCCTGCTCTCACCCCACCAAAGTCAACCTCAGAGTCAAACCCCATGGATCGTCTTCAAAATCCCCTCCATCTTTAGGCCGTATCTGAATTTCCCATTCTGCTTTTCTAATTCCGGTCACCGGAGTTTCAATCTCAAACCTTACTAACTTTCTTGATGTCTCCACAATTTCAATTTCTGTTATTGCTCTGCCTTTTGGGGTTAGGGTTTCATGCTGATTTTGGGCACGCCTTCAAAGTTCCCTTCAGTGTCAAGGATGTGCTCCCGGTGTTGCCGCGCCAGGTGTCCTGGCCGGTGTTGAACAACTTCCACAGTGCGGTTGACCTGTTGCCGGCTTTTGTTGGATCGGTGAGTCCTCATAATGGTACGATTCAGTGGAAAGGAGCTTGCTTTAACGGCAACGAGGCCCGTATGGAGTTCACTGAAAGCGATCGGGACCAGCCAGGTTTGGGCGGAGGCATTCTCCATCTCACGGTTTGCTCTTTGTCTTTGCTTATATGACAATTGTGTACTTATTGCTGAAATTCTAACCAAAATTAAAGTTGTTGACATGTTTGTTGTTATTTGAACAGATTAGAGTGGTACATGAACCTAAACTCATTTAATTTTCTTACTAGGGACTGTAGATCCTAAATCCGAAGTTGGGGAATTGATTGATATCTCTTCCCTTTGAGAGAGAATGTAGTAATTTAACTTTGTTAGTTGCCATGACGAGGTTTTAAGATTGAATTATCTCTTGGAATAATTAATTTAATTTTCCATTTACAGGCATCGGAAGCACACAGCTGGACCTGTATGGATCTTTATGTTTTTGCAACCCCTTACAGGATCACCTGGGATTACTACTTCTCTGCTCGAGAGCATACGATAAAATTTGATTCATGGGAAGAGTCTGCAGAGTTAGAATATGTATGTTTTTTATTGTTTTCTCTGAGTTAGCGTTAGTGCTGATGGTGCTGTTTGACTAACATTCTGTTGGTCACTGAACAGGTAAAGCAGCATGGAATCTCTGTGTTTCTCATGCCATCAGGAATGATGGGCACGCTGCTTTCTTTAATAGATGTGTTGCCTCTGTTCTCTAATACCATCTGGGGTCAGAATGCCAACCTTGCATTTTTGAAGAAGCACATGGGCGCTACATTTGAAAAACGTCCTCAACCATGGCGTGTGACAATAAACCCAGAAGATGTGCATTCTGGTGATTTTTTGGCTGTATCAAAAATCCGTGGTCGGTGGGGGGGATTTGAGACTTTGGAAAAATGGGTGACTGGTGCCTTTGCTGGTCATACTGCAGTTTGTTTGAAGGATGAAATGGGTAATCTTTGGGTTGGTGAGTCAGGACATGAGAACGAGAAGGTGCCTACATAATATCTGTAGATTAGATTGCTGATTATTTATATGTAAAATATATTCTGTTCTGAAAATTTTTTAACATTTTTTTTCACTTTCACATGATGTTTGCTTTATGATCTATGCTGGTAATTAGGACCCTTCAATTTCAATGTGGAAGATACGAGTTTTTATTACTCAAGAAAGCTACTTTGAAGATACAAGCAACATGAACTGGTTTAAAGAAATCAATCGATTTTTTTTTTTTGGGTTTGGGAGGGGGGGGGGGGTGGTGTGTGTTAAAGATTACTTTGAAAAGTTGATTTTCTTTGGTTGATACATGTATCTGAAGTAGTTCTTTGTTGGTTATTCATGTCACATGCTCATATGAACATTGCAGGGGGAAGAAATTATAGTGATCATTCCATGGGATGAATGGTGGGAGCTGGCACTGAAGGATAATTCTAATCCTCAAATAGCTTTGCTTCCTTTACATCCAGACATACGAGCAAAATTTAACTCCACTGCAGCTTGGGAGTATGCGCACAGCATGTCTGGCAAACCTTATGGTTATCACAACATGATATTTAGTTGGATTGATACTATTGCTGATAACTATCCACCACCTCTTGATGCTCACTTGGTATGCATCTTATATGGCCATTTGTGTAACTTTAGTTTAAGGCTGCTCTTAGGAACTTGTGTTCTTTAGGAAGCATGTAGTTTTATTTGCAACAAATTGAGAAACTACTTGCTAAAAAAAACTTAGGCGTTTCAGTCATTAGCCCCAAAAAAAAAAAAAAAAGGTCCTCAACACCTTGATTTAAAATGCCTCTGATGCTTGCCTTGAATTCATGTGTGTGTGTGTGGAGGGAAATGTACTGCTAGATGTCTTTGGAAGTAAATCCAATGCTAATAATGACGATTCATAAGTTTCCTCACTAGCAGAATTCAATTGCAGGTCATTTCTGTCATGTCTATGTGGACAAGAGTGCAGCCAGCTTATGCTGCAAATATGTGGAATGAAGCATTAAATAAGCGTCTAGAGACTGAGGTATTTGTTGTTGTTCTACTGTTGCTCATATTGATTTTAATTTTTAATTTGTTGTTTTGATGAAAAGCCTATCTCTAAATGCTATTAGATTTCCTCAAGAACATAAGCTATGAATATATAGATCAAGTAGATGACATGTAGAAGAATAGAAAGATGAATGTTTGATATTGCTGTAGACTTCCTCCCCCTTTACTCTTAATCACATTGAGTATGATTTTGGTTGGTATCACTTACTGAATTTGTTACTTTGAACCTCTTTAAACCATTTTTCTCAGGATTTGGACTTATATGGAATTCTAGAGGAAGTTGAAAGGCGTGGCATGGCCTTTGATCAATTACTTTCTATCCCAGAGAAAGATGAATGGATATACAGTGATGGGAAATCAACTACCTGTGTGGCCTTTATCCTTGCCATGTATAAAGAGGCTGGAGTCTTTGGTCCCATTTCTAACTCTATCCAAGTAACTGAATTCACTGTAAGTTTTCATGCTAAAGGTCTTCTAACTTAAAACATTCCTTTAACCTGTTTGTATGTAGTATGACATGAACTTTTGTTTTCAGATTCGTGATGCGTATTCACTTAAGATTTTTGAGAATAATCAAACACGTCTGCCAAGTTGGTGCCAGAACAAGGATGTTCAGCTTCCATTCTGCCAGATTCTGGGTGAGTATTGGATGGAATTGCCACACTACAACACCATAGAGCCATATGCCAATATGAACGAGAACTGTCCATCCTTACCTCCAAGTTATGAGAGGCCAATAAGATGTTAAACTTTTCATCAACCTGTTTGTTTTACTACTCTTGCAAAAGACATGCTCCATTGGTGCCATTGAAGCTCGTATCCTGTGATTTATTTAGTGCAATGAGGCTTTTTCTGCAGAACCGAAGTTGCGGAAGGACTGCATACTCTATATTCCTGCTAGATATGTTTGATGTCTGTAAATATATGTTGGAAGAAAATTCTTTATTTATTAGTTAAATATATTTCTATATTCTCTGATGACAATGTCAAATTTTAAGAAACTCAGGACTGATTTAAGCATGCGAATTTTTATATTCTAATTCCCACTTTGGGAAATTATCCTGAAATAAAAGATAATGTTGCAGAGGTCAAAGACAAACCAGTTCTCAATTCGGTTGCCCAAATCAACACTGAGACGGTCATAAAACCGTATCAATAAACTTAGGTTTTTTTTTTTCTTATCAATGGAATAAACTTTTTTATGGTTTCAAAACAAGTATTATAAGAATTTTTTCTTTGTACGGAGTTTGACTCGACTTGATAATAGAGTGATTAGGACATAATGTGATTTATAGATATTGAGGGATTAATAAATAAAAAAAAACATAGTTTTCACTTTTGCTTGAAAAATAAAATCCTGTTGTATTATATAAGTTACGGTTGTTTTCTGTGTAAAGTAAAAATTTATTCAAAATATTTACCAAATAAAATAATATTCAAAATTATGTGAAAAATGTTAAACCGCTTACTGTGTACTAGTTGAAAGGCTAAACAGTTTGTTTCCCAACTAAATAATTGACGAGAATTTACTCGATTTTTAGTTTTCCATTTTTTTTTAGTACATCGAAATTTGTTTCAAAAATTTTGAATCTGTAAAATACTAAACTTCGCAAAATTCTTACTGGCGACGAAAAAATTTTTTTTTTGGAAAATGGCGACGAGAAACTATTTTGTTATAAGAGGTTGAAATGCCTCTAACAATCAAATCAAGTACGAGTAATATGTTCCCCCTACGATTAGTATGCATCATTGACCCCATTTTTATCACTTTTCCACTTTCCATAATTTACGGTTTCCTTTTCAATGCCGCAATTGACGAACTTGTGTTTCTCTCCCCTTATCATCTTTCTTATGTTCAAATTTGAATTTGTAATGATGAACGGGGTGTTTGGCGCTAGCAGCCTTCCTGGGCTGATAACCTAATAATATACATTAAATACTTTAATTTATATTAATTTATAAGTTTTTATTGAAAGAGTTATAATATTTCATATTTATTTTTAAAGTTTCCTTAATAAATAAAAAAAGTGTTTGGTTGGAAAAAATTTCAATCAAAATTTTAAAATTTTTTTTTAAGTATTTAAAAAAATAAAAATAATATTTTTAATTTTATCTTTTTAATATAATTCTTAATTTGATAAACTTTTATTTTATATTTCTTTTTAAAAGTAAAAGTTTTTCTTAACCTTTTTTATATAAAATTTATTTGAAAACTTTTTTACAAATTTATTCAATATTAATTTATTACCAAACACAATGTAACAAAATTTCAATAAAAATTTTGTCAAATTTTCAATATTAATTTATTACCAAACACAATGTAACAAAATTTCAATAAAAATTTTGTCAAATTTTTATACAATATTTTCTTAACAAAAATTTTATTGAATAAAATTGAACCTTTAGCCTAACAGGTAACAGCCCCAAATATCCAACCGCAACCTGTAAACTAATTCCACGCGTCATCCAAGAAAACCACTGCATCTTCTCCCGCCAAGTACTAATTTGGTGGGTTATACAAGGAAAATAGGCAGAAGGTGCAATTAATTCAGCCTCTGTAGCTGCAATGTTGTGGCAAATCAGTTTATGTACTAGAAATATTGGCAAATCAGCTCCTCTACTATATGAAATTCGCAGATCACCCCTTCTGTTAAGGATGATGTTAGAAAACATCATCTTTCCGTTTGATTTTTGTGGCCTGTTAACAAAAGATGATGATTGGATAATGACATGGCATTGACTTAAAAAAAAAAATCACCGGACTTAAAAAAAATTTTTTTGATATATTTTTTTTCACTTTTATATATTTAAACATATGGATTTTTTAACTTGTGTTCTAACGGCAAGTTAAATCTCATTTATTGTAATATTTGTAATTAATTTTATATAAAATTTTATATAAAATTTAAATAAAATAAAATATAATATATAAAAATATAATATAATATAATATTTTACCTTAAAATCTATAAAAATTAATGAATCTGATATAAAAAATTATATAAAATTAATTAAAAATATTCTAATTAATGAGATTTAATTTATATCCTTAAAACACATGTTTTAGATTAAAAAAAAAAATGACAAACCCAAATTTGGGTTTTGTTTCATTTTTCATTTCTAAGAAGGAGAAGGGAGAGGAAAGGATGGGAGAAAGAAGGGAGGAGGTTCCAGATCTAAAACCCAAATTTGGGTTTTGTTTCATTTTTTATTTTTTTATCTAAAACTTGCGCTCCAAGGGCTTAAGTTATGTCTTATTAATTAAAGTATTTAAATTAATTTTATACAAATTTTTATATCAAATTTATTTATTTTTTTATAAATTTTAAGATAAAATATTATATTATATTTTTTTATATTATATTATATTATATTAAAATCGTGTATAAAATTTTATATAAATTAATTATAAATACTATAATAAATTAGGCTTAACATGTCCTTAGAGTATAAGTTAGAAAATCCTTATGTTTAAATAGCTTAATAGTAAAAAAAAATCTCAAAAATATTTTTTTCTTAAGTCAGATGGTTTTTTTTTAAGCCAATGCTTTGTCATAGTCCAATCATTATCTTTTGTTAAAGGGCCACAAAAATAAACGGAAAGATGACGTTTTCTAATGTCATAATTAACAGAAGGGGTGATATGCAGATTTCATGTAATAAAGGAACTGATTTGCCAATATTTTTAGTACAAAGACTGACCTACCACAACATTCCAGGTACAGAGGTTAAAAAGAACCTTCATCATTTTCTGACCTAAGTCACATCCTACCCAGATTTTAAATTTAAAATTTCTAGATTATAGTTTCGTAGTTCAATTGTGGAGCCGCTCTTTCGAGGCAGCGGCATATACTAGTCACCAACCAAAACACCCACACAACCCCCCAACTTTGACTGCACCTTTGTACGTTAAAAGTCAAAATCACGGGACAAAGTCTTTTGCCGATTCTTAACAACACGTTGCTTCAAATAAAGTGCTAAACGCGGCTGTCCCCGGAATCAGACTCCTCTGAACCTTTCACACCTAAATAAAGATTCTTTATTTAGGATCATCATCACCAAATCTCTCCTCCTCTTTAAAAGCCTCCGAAAGCATACCCCAAAACCACCGCAGGTCGCCGGCCTTCACCCTCCTCAGTCCTCCATCATCGAAAACATTCATATTCCATCAAAAGTTCCGATCTTTCACACAGTTCCATTGGTTCTTCAGAAGGGAAAAAACAGAGCAGAAAAGGGGAAAATCAGAAAATGAAGCTTCAACTACTTTCGGTTGTGGTTTTGGCGTCGCTTTTTTTGTTCCCTTCAGTTTCAGCTAGGTTCTTTCCCAATATAACATCCATCCCTCCGTGGGTCTCAAACATCACCGGCGCTTGGGACGGTTTTCATAAGTTCGCCGGCTGCCATTCTGGACAAAAAGTCGACGGCTTGTCCAAGCTCAAGAAGTACTTCGGCCGTTTTGGTTACATCCCCGATGTATCGAACTTCACTGATGATTATGATGACTCGCTTGAAGCTGCCATCAAAACCTACCAGCAAAACTTCAATCTCAACGTCACCGGAGAGCTCGACAGCCAGACGCTTCAGCAGCTCATGCGGCCGAGATGTGGCAACGCCGATATAGTCAACGGGACGTCCACCATGAATTCTGGTAAACCGTCTTCGTTTCACACCACGGCCCATTTCCATACCACCGCCCATTACTCTTTCTTCCCCGGGCAACCGAGTTGGCCCGCCAGCAATCGCGACTTAACTTACGCGTTCTATGAAAACTTGACTGATGACGAGAAGAGCGTGTTCCAACGCGCCTTCGACCGATGGGCTGCTGTGACAACGTTGACGTTCACTCCGGCAAGTTCTTTTGCGACCGCTGATATCAAAATTGGATTTTTCTCGGGAGACCATGGTGACGGGGAGTCGTTTGATGGGGTATTGGGGACGCTGGCCCACGCGTTTGCTCCGACGGCTGGCCTTTTCCACTTGGACGCGGCCGAGAACTGGGTGGTGTCGGGTGACATCAGCACCTCGACGGTGTCGACAGCCGTTGATCTGGAATCCGTGGCCGTACATGAGATCGGACATTTGTTGGGGTTGGGACATTCCTCGGTGGCAGGATCGATCATGTACCCGACAATTTCCGCCGGAACCCGAAGGACCGAATTGACGAACGATGATATACAGGGGATCCAGAAATTGTACGGCAGCAATCCCAACTACAACGGCACGCCTACGGTGTCTGCTCAGGAGAGTGACACTAGCCAGAACAGCGCCGCTCACAATGGAGGAGGTTCACGGTGGCCATTCCTTGTCTTATTAGCCGCTGGATTTGGGTTCTTGTATTTGTAGATAATGTAATTATAGGTCCATTCCTTTTTTATTTGTTTATTTTGGCCCTTATATACTTTCGGGTGAGATTTATCTGATTTTTTCCCATATATATTTTAGGCGGTGTTGAGCCTTGTGGCCGTTTGATTTAGTATACAGTTATACAGATACATGAGATAGATTGTTTGATTCTTTTCCATCAATGATTTG